ACATTCAGGGGGCTAATTTCAGTCTTATGCAGGTTCTCCAGCTGTCAAGTCTGGACTCAGAGAGTTCTCATATGCTCACTTCAGCTGTTTCTGTTTGCTCCTCCCTCTTTATAACAGCAATCCAGGAGATTGGTACAGTGCTTAGCTGTGGATGTCTGCATCTGCTTATATCAGTTAATAGATGAAGGCTCCATGATATTATTCAAGCTAGTCTTCAATGTAATTATAGGGAAGGTCAGTAAATGTACCCTTTCCATTATTGCTCAAATTATTTACTGTGGTCTTCCTTGTGGATACCTGGGATTTTTCTCTAGTGCTGGTTGCTTGTTAAAACTGTTAACAGCTCCATCAAAGTATCACTTTCCTTGCTCTCCTTTGCTGTCCTTAACACATCTTGACTTTTAAGATTCCTCATGTTCTCTTCCCTCCTCCCTTTCCTCTCCACTCTCTTACTGTCATACTCCCTCCACCCAATTCGAATTCGGTCAGGAAACCTTGTATATTTCCTCTTTTGGATGGGTCCATGTATTTGTCTTGTTCATTGATGAATAAAGCATTTGTTGGACAATGGAAAGGTAGACTTTAAGAGACACCATGTAGGTACCAGTAGAGAAGAACTAGGGTATCACATAAGTAGGCCAAACCAACAGATTAATAAAAATGGGTTGATACAGGAAAACCTCCAACAACACTTGTGGCATCCTCGGAGCCTTGGACCCACTCACACCAGGAGATGTGAGTGCCTTTGTACACACTTTATCCCCCTAATACATATGCCCTAAATTCCTGGGGCACATTGCACTCTCCACCATTTCCCACTGAAATTCCATAGACCTGGGGGGGAGCCTCCTACAAACCCAACCATACACAACTCTATCTGCTGCCACTGGAGTATTTGTCTCATCTCCATGTGGACAGGTGAGTGACTGGGTGTGCCCATCCCCCCACCCTCTCCCACAACTGGCTGCAGGTTCTTTGCCTCTAGATCCTAGTTGCCTGGGGTACATCACATGAGCATCCCACCCACTGAAATGCCAGACACGTGGGTACAGCCTTTACACAAGATAAAATATCCAGCACTGAATCTGCCTCCATGAAACCTGCATCCAGCAATTCTATAGATACTCTCCACTTACACCAAATGGAGGAAGAGGGGCCACTTGAATCACTGGCCACATATGCACCCACTGGAAGAAGAGATGTGCAAATGACAGAATAAAAACATATTCAACCAAAGGAAGAGAAATATGACCCCTTTCTAGAGTAATATGACAACTACCTAGAACTCAATGAAAACAAATTCAAAACTTACCCAAATTTATGAGGTACATTGAAAGCAGTGCAAAGAGAAAAAATCATAGCATGAAGTGACTGCATAAATGAAAATCTCCCACTCTAGTGACTTGTCAGCACACTTGAAATATCTGGAACAAAAGACATCGAATTCCCCCAAAAGGAGTAGACGCCAGAAAACTAATTGATGACTGTAATCAATAGAATAGAAAAAAAGGAAACAGCAAAATAAATCGTTGAAACAAAGAGTTTGTTCTTTGAGAAAATAAACAAGATGAATAAACTTGTATCCCAACTAACAAAAAGGCAGAGAGAACATTCAAATTAACAAAATCAGAAATGAAAAGGGCAACATGAAACTGAGGAAATCCAGAGAATAATCAAGTTGTACTTTGAAAACCTGGACTCCACAAGTTTGGAAAATTAAAGGAAATGGACTATTTCCTGGATCGATATCACTTTCCAAAATTAAATCAAGAACAGATAAGCAATTTAAGTACACCTGCTACCCCTAATGAAATCTAAGGTGTATTCCAAAATCTCGAAACATAAAAAGGCCCAGTGCCAGATGCTTTCTGCACATAAATTCAGAGAACAGATAATACCAGAATTCCTCAAATTTTCCAAAACCTAGGAGCAGAGGATTCATTGTCACCTCTTTTTCCAAAGCTACAATTAACTTGGAACCAAAGCCACACATATACATAAATAAGAAATAGAACTTAAGAGCAGTCTCCCATGTGAACATTGATATAAAAATAATCAATAAAATACTTGCAAATTAAATTCAACAACATATCAAATAGCATCTGCCAAGATCAAGCAGGCTTCATCAGAGAGGTGCAGGGATGAAACAACATACAATATTCCATCAATGTAATGCATCATATATGCAATTAAAAAGGTAAAATAAATGATCCTCTCACTAGATATTAAAAAATCCTTCAAAAAAACAAACACACCACCATGATGAATGTCTTGGAATGAACAGAGATAACAGGAACATATGAAACATGATAAAGGCAATATAAAGCAAGACCACAGACAACATCAAACAAACAGGAGAGAAACTCAACGTGATTCCCCTAAAATCAGGAACAAGACAAGGCTGTCCACTCACACCACCTGTCTTCAATATTGTACTTGTAGCTTAGCTAGAGCAATAAGACAACAAATGATGAAGTATTTATGAATTAGAAAAGAAAAATCCAATGGTATCAAAGACCTCAATATGAATACAGTCACACTGAACCTCTTAGCAGAAAAATTGGGAAA